CCGCAATCCCTTCTCCTCCATTCTCCTCTCGGGATCTTGGGCAAGCACGCACACACACCCGGCGTGAGTTTAAGCCACCAGGTCCGGGACTCGAACCGCGGTCGACCACGTGGGAGTCCAGCGACACAGCCATTACGCGAACTGTTGGTCCTGATGTTCTTCCTTTTTAAGGCTGAAGGCTATCCCACTGTTGGGATACACTTCATTTTCCACTCACCTGTCCAACGCTTTGGTTGCGTCCTTCTCTTGGCTGTTGTGAACCAAGTATCTTCTGGAGACCCTACTTTCAATATAGTCCCAGAAGTTGGACTGCTGGACCATGTGGTAATTTTAATTTCTGGAGCAGCCAAACTGCTTTCCACAGCACCTTATTTTTAGCACAGACAATGGGGCACTTTCTTCACTGGTTTTCCAGACTCCACACCTTCATATCTGCCTCCCCCCACTCCCAGCATCTTTCTAAATCACATTTGATCTTGTAACACTTGAACCCTTCTGGAGCTCCCCACAGTCTGGGCTACGTCCAGCCTGCTCAGTGGACACCCAGCCTCTCTGGTCAGGCTGCTGCGTCTCTCAGCCTCATTTCCTTCCCTTGAACCATCACTCTTGCCTTCAGCTCACTCACCTATCCCTGGCTTCTACCCAGTTCCAGGGCTGGAATACCCTTGCAAGCAACTACAGTATTTGCAGGCTGGTTCAAAGGTTCTGAGTTCATTTTCATGTCAGTTGAAATTAAATTGCGTCCCTGCCCACAAAAGTCCAAAATCTCTGGGCAGTGGCAGCCTAGTATTCAGCACCCTTTACCCTTTCCGTGCTGTCTCTCTGTGCGCATGAAGCCCCTAGTACCAGACGCGAGTGTTTATGTCGAGGTTTGCTGACAGGACCCCCAGGTCCGAGCGGCGAGGTGCGATCCGACCTGCCCATGTCCCAGCCCCTTCTTCATACCTAAGATGCTCCTCGAAGCCCTCACTCATTTCCCTATCCACAAAGCTCCTGCCGCAAGGGCTTGACAGGCTTTGATCCCGACCGGTCGGACAGGCAAACTGGGCCTCAGTTTCCCTGTACGAAGAACGGGATCTGTACAGTAAGTCCTTCTCCCAGACCTACCCGTGCCAGGGGCTGCCAGGGCGGGTCACCACCGCGCTGCAGTTCGCAGATCAGACAGGTCCGGATGCCCTTGCAGCCACATTCCCGAAAGACGTCGGGGGCCTCTGCAGCCGCCGCCGCCATCGCGCCATCTAGACGGCCAGGGCGCTGGCGCAGGGCCGCGGGGGCCGTCGGGAGTTGTAGTCCGCGCGCGGGGCACGAGGCCAGGGCTCTGCTTCCTTCCGGTCGCCGCAGCGGCCGCCTAATTCGCGCGGCCTTACCCCCCGAGCTTGGCCACCTGCGGACGTTAGCGCCGGACTCCGGGCGGCTCGGCCTCCTCGGGACGCAGGGCCGGCGACCGAGCCAGCGCGGGCCGCGCCTCCTCGCCATGGGCCCCCTCTCGGCGAGGCTGTTTTTGGAGCGCGGGCGACCCAAGAGCGACAGGCTAGGGAAGATCCGGAGCCTGGAGTAAGAGCAGGGCAGGGGGCGAGGCTGTGTCTGGGGTCCCAGAGCTCACCACCCGCCCCGGCCTAGGCCGCGGACAGTCGAGAGGAAAGGCCGGGATCCTTACCCATCCCATTTCCTGCCCATCCCCGGTATCACTCTCGCTTCCGCGGAGTTTCTAATCTTTCGCGCCAAACGTTTGCTTGTTCTGAGATGCACCGGGTCGCTGCTCCCCACCCCAGCTCCCTGCGCCGGGCGGCCTCAGGCAGTTAGGGAGAGAGTACTGAGGAGCCTTCGGGATCATTAGAAGGTCCATAAAGAAGCGGTACCCCCAAAGAGCTCCGAAGGGAGCTCTGCCGTGTTGAGTTCTAAAGTTGTTAAAAGGTTTTACAAGGTTGTGTGGGAGGAGATTGGGCTTACACAAGAAATGGCAGGTGGGATGGGAGCCCTGCCCCCCCCCAGTCTCCCCTAGGCCACCTGGGCAGATTGGTGGGGTGGGAGCCGTCTTCTGAGTCTCCCTGGTCTGTCCCCACCCTAGCCTGTCAGGGCTGAAGCTGCTCTCAGAGCACTTAGACCCAAAGCTCCTGGGCCGACTGAAGCAGCTGCAAGAGCTGGATCTCTCCAACAACCACCTGGAGACCCTGCCGGCCAACCTGGGCCTACCCCACCTGCGCATCCTGCGCTGTGCCAACAACCAGCTAGGTGACGTCACCGGCTTGTGCCAGTTCCCGCAGCTGGAGGAGCTCAGCCTGGAGGGTAACCCCTTCTTGACAGTAAGTGGGAACCCCGCCCGCCCCAGGTGTGCAGCTGGGACTCTGTGGGACTCAGGCTGAGCTGCACTGAGCCACACTGTTCATCCCTCAGGTCAATGACAACCTGAAAGTCTCCTTCCTCCTGCCCAAGCTCCGGAAGGTCAATGGCAAGGATGCATCCTCTACTTGCTCTCAGGTGGAGAACCTGAACCGGGAGCTGACCAACAGAGTAAGGCATGGGAGTTCATGGAGGTGTGCTCGGGAGCAGTAGGGAGTGTTGAGGGAGTGACAGGCTAGGCATTTCAAGGGCATCCAGGAAGATGATGGTCTCCTTATCTGACAGCCCTAGCCCAAGGCGCTAGTCTAAACCTCTGCCCTCAGAGCTCGTGTCCTGCAGGTGTGCAGACTGGATGCGGACGCAGCCTCGGGGAGCCAAGATGTTCTGCAAAGTAACTAGGCAGAGCTGTCTCTGCGGTGTGTGTTGATTAGGTTTATACCACCTGTGGATAAGAGGCTGTGGGTTAGGAGGCTGGCGGCAGGTGGTGAGGTTGACAGCTGTGGCCAATGAGTTTGGGGCAGATGTGCAGGAAGGCTGGGCCTGGAGCTGCTTCCTGTCGCCATAGGTGACAGCTCACTGGGAGAAGTTCATGGCCACACTGGGCCCCAACGTGGAGACTGAGAAGGCCCAGGAGGACTTTGTGAGGTCTGCTGTCAAGGATGTCCGCTATGGGCCCGAGTCCCTCAGAGACTTCACCCAGTGGCGGGTATGTCCTCACCATCCCTGCTAGGTGTTGGTTTCGCTGACACTCATGGTCCTCAGCTGCCCTGGAGGTTTCTGGCCATGAGGGGGATGAGGGGAGGGTGGGTCAGGAAAGGCAGCCCTGTTGGCTGGAGAGGCCCCTTCCCAACCTGGGAAGCCTAAGATTCCTCTGACCAGGCGTCTCAGGAGAGGCTGCGACCCCCAGGGCTGCAGCCCGCTAACTGACGGCCTGGCCCCCTCCCAGGTGCGAATGATCTCTGAGGAGCTGGTGGCCTCTGGTAGGATCCAGGGACGTGAGACAGATGTCCCAGAGAGACGTCCAGAGGCCAGGGCTGCTTCCAAGCCCAGGGTGAGTGTGACTGCTCCCAGGGGTAGGAGGGCCTGCTTTGGCCATTCCTGCCTCAGAGGCTGCAGGAAGGTGGGGATCTTGGAAACAAGCCCAGAACATGGCTCCCAGACCTTGCCTTCTGCCCCTACGGGAGGGCGTGACAGGACAGAAGGAGGTCCTGGGCAGATGGGCTCATGGTCACAAGGCCCCACCCACAGGCCAGGCTGGTGGCCTTGAAACGGCCCGACGATGTCCCACTCAGCGTCTCTCCCACCAAGCGGGTGTGTGCCTCTCCAGCAGCCCAGGTGGAGGGCAGCCCTGCGGGCTCTGATGGCAGCCAGGTAAGCCAGCAGGGGGCTGGGAGCACGTGTGGGGTGAGCAAAGCGGGGGCAGCTCTGAACCCCCATACCCCCACAGCCTGCCCTGGGGCTGGAGCCCCTGCACTTCCTGCAGTGCCACAGCAAGAACAACAGCCCTCGCGACCTGGAGACCCAGCTGTGGGCCTGCGCCTTCGAGCCGGCCTGGGAGGAGGGTGCGTCCGCGGGCAGGCTGGGCACCAGGGAGGGAGAGGGCACAGAACACAAAGCAGAAGGAGCTTTCTAGATGGGGCAACTTGGGGGACGGGCAGGGGATCGGGAGAAGTGCTGTGGGGACAGGGAAGCCCTAGACTGGAAGTGTTATCTCACAGGTCACCTCCCAGCAGGCAACCCAGGGGCCACATCCCAGACCGTGGCCACGTGTGGCGGGGAGGCCGTGTGTGTGATAGACTGCCAGACGGGCATTGTGCTCCACAAGTACAAGGCTCCTGGCGAGGTGAGTGCCCAGCCCCTGCCCAGGCCCGATGTGCCTTGCACTCACACCCATAGCCCTCCCCTGTGACCATGTCCCCTCCCCTGTGCCCCCAGGAGTTCTTCTCAGTAGCCTGGACAGCCCTGACGGTGGTCACGCAGGCTGGCCACAAGAAGCGCTGGAGCGTGCTGGCAGCAGCAGGCCTGCGGGGCCTGGTCCGGCTGCTACACGTGCGTGCTGGCTTCTGCTGTGGAGTCACCCGGGCCCACAAGAAGGCCATCGCCACCCTCTGCTTCAGCCCCACCCACGAGACGCACCTCTTCAGTAAGACCCACCCCCCTACCCCGGCCCTGTGTTCCTGGGGGACACGGAGCTCGCTGGCTGCTCTGTGTTGGGCTCGGGCTTTGGTAAGCCACATGGCTTCATGGTGATCCTGGCTTTATCCCAGCCTACTCTGTGGCCTTGGAGTTCTATCGCAGCCAGGGCCACTGGTTCCCATCAGTGACCTGGGTGGATATCCCTGGCCCCCCAGTTGGGGACAGCCCACCAAGGGTAAAAGATAAAGCTGCAAAAGTGGCTGTTGGTGCCGCAAATGTTAGCTTAGAGCCAGAAGACGGGACCTGCAGGCCCTCGGGTCTTCCTGTCTCCCATCCGGGGCCTGCCTTCCCTGCTTCAGAGGGGCTGGCCTTAGGCGTCTTAGCCTGGGATACGCCTGTGGGAAGGATCAGGGCCTCCTCAGGGCCACCTTCCCCCTTCCCCTCCCCAGCGGCCTCCTATGACAAGCGGATCATCCTCTGGGACATTGGGGCGCCCAACTGTGACTACGAATTCCAGGCCAGGTGATGCTATGAGCAGGGCTGGTGAGGGGCTGGCTGCTGGTGAGGGGTGGAGGTGGACCTGGCCTCCGTGGACTCACGCTCTCCCTCTCCCCTGTTGACAGCTCGCTGCTCACGCTTGATACCACCTCCATCCCCCTGCGCCTCTGCCCCGTGGCCTCCTGCCCCAGTGCCTATCTGCTGGCTGGCTGTGAGGGGGGCTGCTGCTGCTGGGATGTGCGTCTGGACCAGCCCCAAAAAAGGAGGTGAGACCAGGAAGGCTTCCTGGAAAGCCAGGACTTGGAGCTGTCCTGAGGGGCCCCTGTCGGCCCAGGCACACGGGGCTGTTTCACAGGCCTCTGCAGAGTGGCCTGTCCTGCCCCTTGCCAGGCTCTGGAGGAAAGGACCCTGCAGCCCCTCCTTCCCTGGGTGTTCAGCTATAGGCCCGGACTACGGTCACCTCATCTTTAACTTGGGGCTTCAGCACCGTGCTGGGTCCAAATGACAACACCTGGGTCCTGCTGCTCATCAGCAGTTACTCTGTCCTATCATGTCCTCTGTGATGAGGGGACAGTGAGGGCCGGTGGCGTGGAGTTTAGGCAGCTAGACTACACATGGCCAACTGCGTGGTTAGAGTCCCAGCCCTGGCAGCCAAAGAAACACACTGGGCACATGTGCATACATGCTCAGAATCCCAAAAGGAGGGGGAGAAGAAGGGGTGAAATGGTGGCTCCTGTCTGGGGTACAGTCTCCCTCTGGTAGAAACTTAAAAAAGCAAAAACCTGTGAAGTGCGTTCTAGGGATAGTTGAGGGTGAGAGCGGGTGCCTGGGCAGGGAGGCAGCTCTGGAAATGCTGCCTTGAGGCACTGTGGCTCTCCACACCCCAGACCATGCTTGGTGTGGGATCCCTGCCCTCGGGAGGCTAGTGCTTCCCTCCACTTGAGGCCCTGAGAGGGGGCATCCAGGCAGAGGGAAGGAAGGCGCTCGTGCAGAAGGAACAGCAGATGCAAAGAGCCAGACTGGGGAGAACTGAGTGGCCAGGGATGTTTGGCCACAGGTGGATGGAAATAGCCCACCTGAGCTGGGCACGCCAGGCTTTGCTGACCAGGGTGCAAATGTGAATTTTATCCTAAGTATGACGGACAGCCCAGGACGGGTGTTAGCTGCACAGCAGGAGTGCAGTCTGGAGAGTGGTGGAGGTCCTGGCAGAGGCTGTGGCCGTTGTTACTCTGGCCTTCTGCCACCTCCTTGCCTGCCACATCTGCCCTGTGCTCAA